CCATGGCTTTGGTCCCTCATATCTGTGGAACCGCCTCTCCCTCTATATCCTGCCACGACACCTTTGCTCATCTGCACAGGGCCTTTTACAGGTGCCACCCTGTAAATGGAGAAAATCAGCAACTGCCCATACATGTGCATTCCCTGGTATGGCCCCCACCTTACGGAACGGTCTGCTTCATGAAGTCAGAAGGGTTCCCACCTTCCTGGTTTTCCACAAGCAAGGCAAACCAAAATTGTTTTTGCACAGGAACAATATGGTTCTGAAAGAGGCTTGGGTTAGGGACAGTAGGCTATACCAACGTCCCTGTTGAATCACCACCACACACAGCATTTTTTAAAACTGTATTTTGGAGGCTGCAGACTCTGGTTAAATAACAAACTATTTAAGTGCTTGTTTAGTGCTCATTTTAATGAGCTGCTAGGCTTTAATGATTTGTTAGACTTTTTGTTTGCTGAAATTGCCAGGAGATGAAATGTTCCTTAGAGGGATCACCCAAAGTCCCCGATATTTAGATGGTAGCTTTTTTTGCCCAAGGGATTCTGGCTTCGAGGCCTTGCAGATATTTTTGTGCCTCTCCTTGGTGGTGTGTGAAACTTTGTTCCCCTTGTGTACCGAACCACCAGTTTCTCATCAGCCTCCAAAAGTGAATATACTCCTCTTCTTACTGCAAGTGTTTTCTTTCAGAAACAAATAGTCTTTTCCTACTGTTAGTTCAGTAAAGAAACATCTGCTTTGAAACTGCATAGTGCAGGCATATTATGTCAAAGGCGCTCTTGCATAATCAAGCCCCTGGTAGGCATGCGTGCATGATGCCTTCATTGTGGTTATGCTGCAGTTCTCTTCTCTGTCTGAATGGCACAGGATTATGCAAATTACCTTGCACAGGCACAAATGCAACCAGTGACTCAGTTGAATCAAAGCGGCACTGTGCCCATGCAGGTCGTTTTCACCAGCCAGCTATGCTAACGAGACCAAAAGTAAGCAGGGCAGGAAGGGAGTAGTGGGAGGAAGAAGAGATGACCAGGTTAGCTGGCATTTTACCAAGGTTAGGACCATCCCTTGTGCTGGCACAATACCTCGTACAAAGCCCATGAGTGAGGGAATCTAGTGAATGAAACTGAGTGTGGTGTGTGTGTAAGTACCATTGAGACACTTCTGACTTATGGTGATGTCCTCCAAAACATCCTATCTTTAACAGCCTTCCTCAGGTCTTGCAGAAAGAGGGCCGGGGCTTCCTTGACTGAGTCAAGCCATCTCATGTTGGGGCTTCCTCTTTCCTTGCTGCTGTCAACTGTTCTTAGTGACTCTCGTCTTCTCATCATGTGACTAAAGCAGGATAGCCTCATTTTAGCTTCTAGGGAGAGTTCAGGCTTGATTTGATCTAGAACCCACTGATTTGTCTTTTTGGCTGTCCACAGTTATCTGTAAAACTCTCCTCCAATGCCACATTTCAAAGGAATCAACTTTCTTTCCGTCAGCTTTCTTCACTGTCCAAGTTTCAACCTCATACACAGTAATGGGGAATACGAATGGCATGAATTGCCTTGATCCTTACCCTGCGTTTTGTTTCCATTCTCTTCGTTTCCACCCCCCTCTCTTTTTGACTGATTTGTAAGGAGGTGGAGAATGAATGTTTTGCAATGTGAATTTGGTGAATATGTTTTGTGTGTGTGTGCTTGCGAGCCTGGAAGTCATAGTGACTTCTGGCAAACCCTAGTGGGGCTAGGACGTTTCAGAGAGGTGGCTTGATATTACCTGCCTCTGTGTCCCGGCCCTGGTATTCTTTAGAGGTCGCCCTTCCAAACACTTGCCAGGGTTGGCCCTGCTTAGCTTCTAAGATCTGATGAGATCGGGCTTGCTTGGGCTATCCAGGTCAGGGCATTTTGCAATGTAAATTTGAAAAGATAACAAGAAAACAAAAGATGCTACACCAGGCAGTCTGCTATGACCAGTGCACAACCTCTTAAATATAATCATCAATGTCTTCAGCTGGGTCTGTTGGATGAAGCCAATCACAATACGGGGAACGTTATCTCCCCATATGCATCCTGGAGAGCCTTGCGCTGTGCAGGCCAACACCCTTTGGTAGTCCCCGGCCCGAAAGACATCCACCTAGCCTCGGCCAGGGCCAGGTGAACCACGCTCCCACTTGAGATCAGGGCCCTGCAGGATCTATTAAGGTTCCGCAGGGCCTGTAAAATGGAGCTGTTCGGCTAGGCCTTTGGTTGAAGCAGCAGATGTCCAACCGTTTTGGCCTTCCCTGTTCATACTGCCCTCCTTGCCTACTCTGCATAGCCGTCTCCAGCACACTGGATGCCCCACTTATCACCTAGTTGTGCCCCTACAAGAGCCACTTTGAGCTCCCACAAATTGGTCTGCCATCTTACTTGAATTGGTTTTAATCTGGTTTTAAATTGTTGGTTTTAACACTATTATGGTATTGTTTCTAATGACATTGTTGTGATATGACTGTCGTGACCACCCTAAGCCTGCTTGCGTGGGAGGGCGGTATATAAACCAAATAACAAATAAAACACAGTACCAGACAAGGGGAGGTTGCTTTAAGAAACCCATGTGATCACTGGAATACATTGGTTCTTATGTTCATATAAGTGCATTGTGTTTCCTAGAGAACATATTTTGCTCCCAGAAATCTGCATGAGTCTACTCCTACACACAAGGAACTAGGAATTTGAAAACACAGAAAACGTTGTGATAGGGACAATGGTGAAAGGCAATATGGCATCAAACCCCACAGCAGAGTCACACAGAAAATGGGAAGCAGTTGTACATACAATTGTGATTTATGAGTCCCTGCAGGGAGTCTCAGCTCTGGAAATCTCAGCTGCGTGGCTTAAAGAAGGGTATAATAAGAACCAAGAATCCCAGACAGAGATTCAAATTAGGTTGCATTCCTAACTGCCTGGAAATAAATCCCACTGAAATCTGTAAGCCCCACTTCCAAATGAACACGTTGAGGACTGGCCGCCAACAGACCTTGCATGCGAGAGGCGAAAAGGATCACACTACACTACAAATGCCAAACGCAGCTTGGTGTAGTGGTTAGGAGAGCTGACTAATATGGGAGAACCGGGTTTGATTCCCCCCTCCTCCCCATGCAGCTGCTGACGTGACCTTGGGTCAGTCACAAGTTATCTCAGAGCTGTTCTCTCATGAGCAGTCCTCAAAAGAGCTCTCTCAGCCCCAGGGAAAGGAGTTTGTAAGCCACTCTGATACTCCGAGTGAAGGGTGGGGTATAAATCCTATCTCCTCCTCCTCTTCTTCTAACACTAGCCATCCCTGGCCTGTCCCAGTTCAAGGACAGAGAGAAGCAGACAGCAGGAAAGAGTCATTCTGAAACAGAACTGACATTTTGATGGGCATATCTATTTACATGTACAAAATGCCAAATGCTGGACTGGATCCAATTGGCTTTTCTGCTGCGTCTCACCCCATTCTCCCCCTTATTACAGTCCCATCTTACAGGGCTTTCTTCCATGCAGATACCATGACCTTTTTCGGGTGGCTAAAGGGGACTTATCCTTGGTTATAACGGTCCTTTCTGCACTAGACCTTAAATCCTGGTTCAATCCTGTCCCTGAATTTACATTCTACACTACACTCGAGTTCACCCCGGTCTCACCCCACACGGATGCTGTTATAACCAGGGATAAATGCAAGGTATTCTGTTGCGAGCTGAACTCTGATAAAATCAGGAATGAGATCCAAGTGCAGAAAGGACCAAACAGCATCCATTTATCCTGGGACAAGTGTGGGGTGAAACCGGTGTGAACTCGAGTGTAGTGTAGAATGTAAGTTCAGGGACAGGATTGAACCAGGATTTAAGGTCTAGTGCGGAAAGGACCGTATAACCAAGGATAAATGCAAGGTATTGTGTCCAGAGTTGAACTCTGATAAAACCAGAGATGAGATCCAAGTGTGGAAAGGACCACTGTGTGAACTGGCAAGATCCAGTTGGAAACTGCATTAAAGGTGGATTATTTAGTGCGTGTGATCACACAGCCGGTATAAAGCAGCTCCACTTCTTCTTTTTAAAAGGGTGGGGGCCTTCTCATGCATCAGGCTAAGCCAGTGCACTTCAGCCTTTCCAGACCTGGGACTCATTGAGCATGAGACCCACGGAGTTACAAGCATGTGACAGGAAGACATGTGACATCAGAGCCATGTAAATGGAAGAAGGGATACAGCATCCTGATCACACCAGGGTGGGCCCCAGGACTGTGAGCAGCACCTCAAGAGAGGCCGGAACAGGAAAGAAAACCTGCAGTGGTATATCACTGGGAGGGTCACTCCACCACTGAGTGACCTCAGCTTCACCTTCTTGCTGTTCCTCTGAAGCCCAAAGGAGGCAGGAGATGTAGCGCCTCTGCTCTCCATACACGAGTACCAAGCAGCAAGGACCTTCCAAAGGGCAGCACCGAACCCACCCCCAGGAGCACTACAGGTGCAAAGGGCCCACTTGCCAGTGCCAGTGGTGGCTGGGTCATTCCTGCTTGGCGCCAAAGTGGAGGGACACCTTTATCTCCTTGTCCTTGGTAGTCATTGCAGCAGGTCAACAGCCTCAGTTGCACAGATGTATGAAGCTGCTGCTGCCGCCCTGTACATACCGTCACAGCTCCATGCTGCCCTTTCTGGCCAGAAGCATCTCAGCTATGCCCGGATCTCAGGCAGGGAGGGGGATCTTTCCTGTGTCACCCGCCGCCCTACAGCTGAGCGTGGGTTTCCCCGCATGCAAAAAGCAGGTGTTCGTCCAACACGGCCTCTTCCTCGCCCTAAGAGGAACGCGGGCTGGAAGCGCCAGAGGCACTCCGCGTGGGCGGGAGAAGAGTCGAGCTCCTCGGCCCTCGCCTCCTCGCCGGAGACAATGGAGGTCCAGCTCTCCCTGTGGCCCCGCCCCACCGAAGGATCCAGCCGGCGCCCCGGAATGAATGGACGGGGCGGAGCGACGCAGCTCCCTATAAGGGAGGCCGGTGGAACGGCGCGCCCAGTTCTCAGCCGCTGGTGTCGGGGGCTGCGGGAGGTTGCGCACTGCTAGAGGGGCGAGAGAGAATCTGTCTCAACAGCAGCCATGCGTGAGATCGTGCACATCCAAGCAGGCCAGTGCGGGAACCAGATCGGAGCCAAGGTAAAGGGGGGAGGGGTGTGCCTTCCTGCCTGCCTGCCTTGTTGCAGGGCGTGGGAATACGGCAACATCCCTTGGAAAAGAGGGCGGTGGCGGCAGGCGCGCGGTGGCCGGGGCCGCCTCTCTAGGGTTGATTTTTTTCTTTTCTTTTTTGGGCACCCTGCGTCTAATCAAAAGCCCTCTTTATTTGGGGGGGGGGGGTTTCCGCCTGCCGGTGTTTCTTCCTCTCCTTGCAAAGCATCCTATTACCATGCCGCTCCCCCTCCCCCCGTCTTTCTCGCTCCCTTAGTACCATCTCGTGTGGCTGACAATCGAGGGCCTCCCTTCTCCATCTTGAGAAGGAGGGGGGGGGATATTTTTCCTATGAACCTCTTATTCCCGTGTTGGTTGGACGCCTTTTCTGCCCCGTCACTCCCCTTAGTCGCTGGTGCAAGAATCCGGCTGCTATCATCGCAGGCTGCGGTTGCCTCGCCCTGTTGCTGAGCTTGCACTCTGCAAGTCGGAGCAGTTCTACCGGGAGGGCGGCGTGCGCGCAGGTCGTAAAAGCCACAAGCGCCTTGACGCAATCCGGGCTTTACATTTTCTCTCCCCCCCCCCCCCCCCCCCGTGCTTTCTGGAAATAATGAAGCTTTAAAAACAAACAATAGTGCTACCTGTTGAGGGGCGGGTGTGTCTGCAAAAGGGGCATCTTTGGCTGTGTGTTTTTGCCTCGGTGCCCTTCGCTGGTGGCGGTGGCCACCGTCGAAGGTGGGCATGGCCGCTGGATGCGGCTAAGGCGTGGCAGCAGCAGCAGCAGCCCCTTTCGCGTTTCACGAGTGGCTGCCTCATGGCTCTCCGCGATCCTATTCCAGTTCTGGGAGGTCATCAGCGACGAGCACGGCATCGACCCCACCGGCAGCTACCACGGAGACAGCGACCTGCAGCTGGAGAGGATCAACGTCTACTACAATGAAGCGGCTGGTAATTCCGCATTTCCTTGGTTTCCCGAGGGCTTCCTAGCAATGCTTCCTCTAAGCTGTAGAGTCTTGTGAGCAAAAATTCTACTTTGTGAGCTGTTACTGGCATTAAAGTTGCGAGCCGGCGATTTGGCTGCTGCACAAATTAGTTTGCTCTGGAGCCACCCTTCCTGAGCTAAGGCAAAAATGTGTGAGCCGGCAGCTAAAAAACCGTGAGCTAGCTCACACTAACTCAGCTTAGAGGGAACTCTGCTTCTCAGTCCTTAGAATTAATAGGAAGTTGTTTCTTGCAGGGTATCTTGGTGGGCTGGTGGTAATATGACTCTTCATTCTGCCTGCCTTTGCAAACTACTAGGAAAGGGCCCTCAGTAGATGACCACATGGTGTGTTGGGCACCTCTCTAAAGATAATCCTTCCTGGAGGAGAGGGCAAATAACAGCCTCTCTTGAACAGTTTTTTAAAAAAATATGTTTTAAAATGTATAGATTTTAATGAAATTGGACACATTAAAAACCTTTCAATTAAACTTGGAAATTGGTCCCTTGACTAAATATTACAGCCCTTATTAAGGAGAGACGTTTCTGGCTAGAAAGCAGTGCTGTTGTTTCTAAATATTGAAAGCTATCATAGATCCTGAATTTCTGTAATTTGGAAAGCAACTTTACAAATGCTTGCATACAGTGAAATTTTCCAGCTGTGCCTGCTGTCTTTTCCTCATATTGAATAGGGTGCTTTTAGTGCTGTGCTGATTTGTAATAGTCTTTGCTGTGTTGTGGAATGACACTGCAGATGGGAAGAGGGAGCACATGGAATCCTTTGTTGAGCCGCTTCACTTAGAATCAGTAGCACTCGGCATTGCTTACTCTGAGCCAGTGCACCGCTTTCCCATTACTGTCACTGGAGAGATGAATGGGAAACGAATACTTTTTCTCCCCTCCCTAGGTAGACATTAGACATTTCCTATTTAAAAGTTCAGTTTCAGTCACTGCATGTTTTTGCAATACAGTACAGTCGTTACAGTATATTGCGTATTATTTTGCATGTGTTCAATATTATTCTTTCAATATCCAGGATCTAATCTCAGTGGCTTCACCTAAAAAAAAAGGGGGGTACCACTATTTTAGTAATCAATCCATGTTCCTCAGCAAGGGGAAGAATAGCAGGCCTTCCTACTGAATGGCCATGAATGGAGCAATTCATCTCTCATTTCTGTTAAATCCCACCGTCTGCTTTAGTCAAGTCTTTGCCCTGCTTCTGTTACAGCTGCGTTAGCTAATGGCGGGGGCACTAGCAAGTGTACTTACAGAAAAACCTCACTTGCTGAAGTTTACATGTTCTCCTGTCTATGCTTGAGGAAATGTACTTCTTGGTCAAGACCTTGCCAGCATAACCAAAGACCTCGGCTAAAGTCAGTATTCTGCAGCTGGTGCCGGAAACCTATTTTCTGCGGTGGTGTGATCTTTCATTAGTATAGTGGATAACACTGATCATTTGCCAGCTAAGATCTGTTATGGGTATGTTTTTTGTTGTTCACGGGAACAGATGTAAAAACTTGCTGTTCCATCAAGAGCAATTCAATACGCGTCTCTGAATAAGGCTGAAGCTGCCAAGAGCACATTAGCTGGCAGACATTTAACAAGGTTGGCTGTGTCTGTAACATTAGCTTGTGTTCTTCCTTCAGGTAACAAGTATGTGCCTCGTGCCATCCTGGTTGACTTGGAACCTGGAACAATGGACTCTGTCAGGTCTGGACCTTTCGGGCAGATATTTAGACCCGACAACTTTGTCTTCGGTACGTAAGGTTGTTTCAGCTACTGGGAGCCTTTGTTTTTGCCTTGAGTAAATCGGCTGCTGCAGAAATGTAAGCCTTTGCATGCGGCTGCTTAGCATGAAAACGATCTCTGCTGTCCTTCTGTAGACCCCTGAATTCAAGACTTGACAAAAATCTCTTTGTGAATGTAACTACAAGTGAGGAAGTAGGAAGCTTTTCCCTGAGTCAGATGGCAGAAATGTGCTAAGCAGCAAAAAGTGTCTGAAGGTCCCAAATCCAGTCCCCAGCATTTCCAGTTAAAAGGTTTATCCGAGACCAGCTATTCAGAGTAGACAGTACTGACCTTGATAGAACAGTGGTCTGACACAGTGCAAGACAACTTCATGTGACCGAGATGACCTCATACAAATACTTAGTGACCCTACACAAAATCTCTTCTTCTGACACCTCTAAAATCTGTCTTCATGGTCTTGGCTGACCTTCATGCTTCAAATTCTTTTGGCCCAACTGACTTTTTTCCAAAGTTGGACATGTTTACCATTGGGCTTTAACTCTGATAGATCATGATGTGGAAGCATGAAGACAAGTTGGTTGCTAGAGGGAAGAGAGAACCATACTTTGTAGGCAGTGTCTAGGAAGAGGTTCATGAATCACTAGTTCAACCACAAGAGGTGAGTATCATGGGCCAATAAAGGAGAAATTTATCATTGTGTCTGATGCATTTTTCTCCTTCCTCTAGGCCAGAGTGGTGCTGGGAACAACTGGGCCAAGGGCCACTACACAGAGGGAGCCGAGCTTGTAGACTCTGTGTTGGATGTGGTAAGGAAGGAGTCTGAGAGCTGCGACTGCCTGCAGGGCTTCCAGCTGACCCATTCCCTGGGTGGCGGCACCGGATCTGGTATGGGAACTCTTCTCATCAGCAAAATTAGGGAGGAGTACCCGGATCGCATCATGAACACGTTCAGCGTAATGCCATCTCCCAAGGTCTCAGACACAGTGGTTGAGCCATACAATGCCACCCTTTCTGTCCACCAGCTGGTGGAGAACACAGATGAAACCTACTGCATTGACAACGAGGCCTTGTACGACATCTGCTTCCGCACACTGAAACTGACAACTCCTACCTACGGGGATCTCAACCATTTGGTCTCTGCCACCATGAGCGGGGTGACCACCTGCCTCCGGTTTCCTGGCCAGCTGAATGCTGACCTTCGCAAACTGGCCGTCAACATGGTGCCTTTCCCTCGCCTGCACTTCTTCATGCCCGGCTTCGCTCCCCTCACGAGCCGTGGCAGCCAGCAATATCGTGCCCTCACGGTGCCGGAGCTCACCCAGCAGATGTTCGATTCCAAGAACATGATGGCAGCCTGCGACCCACGCCACGGCCGCTACCTTACGGTGGCCGCCATTTTCCGGGGCAGGATGTCCATGAAGGAAGTGGATGAGCAGATGCTCAACGTCCAGAACAAGAACAGCAGCTACTTTGTGGAATGGATCCCCAACAACGTGAAGACGGCCGTGTGTGACATCCCACCCCGGGGCCTCAAAATGTCTGCCACGTTCATCGGCAACAGCACCGCCATCCAGGAGCTGTTCAAGAGAATCTCGGAGCAGTTCACGGCCATGTTCAGGCGCAAGGCCTTCTTGCACTGGTACACCGGCGAGGGCATGGATGAAATGGAGTTCACGGAGGCGGAGAGCAACATGAATGACCTGGTCTCCGAATACCAGCAATATCAAGATGCCACTGCTGACGAGCAAGGTGAATTTGAAGAGGAAGGAGAGGAGGATGAGGCTTAGGATCTGAGTAGGTTTTAGTGCAATTGGGCAAGTGTCGAGGAAGGTTCTGATCAGTTACAAGAATGCATGCTTCAATTTTTGATTGGTGCTTTTTTTACTGTTGCCCTGTCAACAGTTTTTGTGACCTCTCTATGTTTTTAAATTTTTGTAAATATTGGCTCAGTGGTTTAAGGTGGATCCCCTACAGGTAAATAAAATAAAGCTGTTTTCCACCCCGGATACTAGGGTTGTAACCTGCCCATTTATTGGGTTAAAATCAGCTTGTTTAAGCCATCTGTAGAAAGAAAATGTCTTGGCCCTAATCCAAAGGCTAAACCAGAATTATTTATTTGGTTGCTTCCTGGTAGGTTTGAGAACTCCCTCTTTTACCATAAAATGATTTTTGCAAGTATGAGGAAAAGCTAATGAATTTCTACGTAAGATTTATGTAAAATTTATTTTGGTTATTACCCTTTCTATTTTCCTTGTGTTTTCACAATGCACAGTGTAGAAGTGTTTATATTTGCAATCTAATTTATGTGTTATGATGTTCATTTTTAATTGCAAATACTGAAGATAAAAGGCAGCCCCTTTGGATTGCTCAAATGATGCGAGTACCTCAATTTCACTTGCCTCATTAAGAGATTCCTCCCCCCTTCCTGTCAGGAGCTGCACATCAAAAGTGATCTCATAAAATAAATCCCACCTTTCATATGATAAAAAGTGGTTGCTTTCTGGCTGTACAGTTGTAGGTGTGTTTTTTTTTTAGTACAATGGGGGTTATATTTCTGGAAGTTTTTTTAAAAAATATCTAAGTGGCCTGTGTTCAAAACTGTATCTGAATTCTCTTTAGCAGTGGTCCTTCAACTGAAAAGTGGACCTAGCTTTGTGAAAGACAGGGAAGGTATGCTTAAAAACCAGTGGGGGGGGGGGGCATACTCATAGCCTAGGTCAGGTTCTGATGGCCAGGATGAAGCATGCTTTCTGTGGCTGTGTTTCTGTTGGCATTTTCTGTGTTCTGTGCAGTCTCACCAAGGATCTCTGTAACTGCCATAATCCAATTTATTCTGATGACTTTTGTGTGATGGTTAATTTTGAGGACTCTATATAAAGGCATGTGTTCTGAGTAATTCCTGTTTGGTGTGTTCTTCAAGACTTTTGGCACACAGTTCAATTCAAGGATGCACTTCCAGTCTCATAGTTTAATTCTTGTTTTGTCAAAGAAACAAGACAGCTTCGTTTGTACACCAAGCCACTTGGTACAGGAAGACTTCATTGACCCCCGTGGCAGTGAAAGACAAAGACATTTGATTTCTTACCCCACCCTCCATCCCTTAAGTATGACTAGAGTTGCCAATCTCCAGGTAGTGGATGGAAATCTCCCACTATTACAACTGATCTCCAAGTAACTGAGAAATGTTCACCAGGAGAAAATGGTCACTTTGGAAGTTGGACTCCGTGGCATTATGTCTCAACCCCCCCCCCGAGGCTCCACCCCCCAAAAACTCCAGGTATTTCCCAACACGCAACTGGCAACCCCTAGGTATGAGTCATATGGGCACTCTTACTAGGAATAAAGGTAGGCTTATGCCTAAACAGTAAGCAAGCATCCTACAGAAGAAATCTTTCTACCAGTCTGTTAAATTCCTCAGCAAAACGTAGGTGTAGATTATGTTTTCCTTCAGGCATAAAATGCAACCTGAAAAAGACAAGTGGTGAGTTAGTTCTTGGTGTACACAACAGTAGTGTGACCTTAGATACAACAGTAGTGAGTAGTGTGACCTTAGATAAAGACCCTTGTAATTGTGTCTCAAGTGCAGTCCAGAATTAACTGGATGACTGACAACACTGACATAATGAAGATCTTGGTTGTAGTCTACTGCAACAATGACAATCTGTCATGGTTTCTGTTCAGCTGCTTCAAATACTATGCCACTATTGCTCAAGGCCTGGCTTTGGAGTAAGGGCAAGTCAATGTATTAAGGCCTTTGGAAGTGAAGGAAGGGAACAAAATTATCACATAACCCTATTCAAAACACTGAGAGCTGCACACTCTCTGCTCTTCAGAACTTCTGTCAATACAACTACAGTGAAGCTGCAAACAGGTCTATGACTCCCATCTTCAGCATGCTGATTTGGAAGCTGGGGTGTTCCATGAAGGTTTTTTCTCCGACCCATAAACAATTGTTTGGGGTGGATCCAGTAATGATTGAGCAGAAAATAAAACTTAGAGCAGTTCCACTTCCACAAGCCATTAGTACAATAGCTGCAGCAATATGTAGTACACAAATATAATTTTAGTGAAATAATGCAGCTGGGTAGTAAGGAGGAGAATGGGAGGGGAGTGAAACGCTTGCTGGATCCAACCCAATGTCTCCAAGCAAAACCACCAAAACATTCTTTAACCCAGCTTATTTTTACTCTGATTAGCACACCAGTGGTGAACTCTCTCCATAAACTGTTCCATAGAATTTATCTCTTCAAAATGAATAATCTGTAAAATTATTCCTGTGCTTCCTAATACTTGTGCCCAGGGCAGAAAAAGATACTCATGTTACTTAGACCAATACTGAGATTAGCAATGGGGAAAATAGGCACTGAGCTGTTTGAAGGGAGCTCCAGGTTGACTTGGTAGGCAAATGGTATCTGGGTTCTTCCAGAAGACCCATATGGAACATCAGAAAGCAGCAATAGACAAGTATTCAGGCACAACACTGGGTTATTCTCTCCCAACTAGAACTACAAAGAGATCCTAAAAGTAGTCCTCAAAATGGATTCTTGGCTACATAAGACTATGAAGAGCATAACATCTCTTTGCAATGGTTTTAAAACATCATGAAATTAAGTGGTTAACTTACTGTGACTCTTTGATATGCTTGTGTAGGTACTCAGGGTGAAAGCGTGGCACCAGAGGGTCTTTCTCTCCATGGATTATTAATGTTGGGCACTTAATATAAGGCAGTAAAGTTTGACAGATACTACCTGTGGGAGAGAAAGTGGGGGGGGCAGAGTTTCAGGTTAACTTAATATTGGGATTTGGGAATATCAGAAAATGTTGATCTTTTTCAGATTCAATATACCCAAACCTGAAAAATACTGATTTTTTTTACACACACCCCTAGTCCAGAGTATAGGTTGCACATCAAAATAATCAGATATTGTGACACACCCATTTCTTTTAAAACCAAGCATAGCTTTCCATGATCTATACTATCAAAAGCTTTGCTGTAATCTAGGAAACACAAGCTAATTTTCTTGTATGCTCCAATAACCAATGTAAATTCGCAGTATGATCTCCAGTCCCTCTTCCTTTTCTGATTCCAGCTTGAACATCTGGCATTTGTCATTCCATATATGGTAAAAATGTTTGTTGTAAGATTTTGAGCATCACAACTTGCGTGAGAAATTAATGTGATCATCTGATAGTTGCTGCAATCTTTGACATCTCCCTTTTTCAGAATTGGAATGTAGATGGAGTGCTTTTGTTTTGTTTTCTATATTTGTTGGCATATTCTTGTTAAGATTCTGATGGACTCAGTTTCTGGAGCTTGAGATAGTTCTACTAATGTCCCCTCTACTCCTGGTTTTTCCCAACTGCTGTCAGTATAGCTTTCATTTCAATTTTTAAAACTGTAGGTGGTGCTTCAAAAGATTCTTCTTTGAATTAATTTGTCATCCTTTCATGTCTTCTGTACAGTTCTTCAGTGTATTGTTCCCATATTTTCTTTATTTTGTCCTATTCAGTTAATGTAATTCCATATTGATCTTTCAGCTTTCCTAGCCATGGTTTAAATTTTCATTTTTATTTCTTGGATCTTGTGGAACAGATCTCTTATTCTTCCTTTTTTGTTGTTTTGTTCTATTTCTTTACATGGTTATTATCATAGTTCTCTCTGTCTCTGTGCAAGTCACTGGACTGCCACATTTAGATTTCTGATTCCATTTCTGTCACCTTTTACTTTTGCTTCTTGTCGGTCTTTGCAATTTTAAGAGTTTCATCAGTCATCCATCAAGGTTTTTCATTTCTTCATAAGGTGTAATAATTGTAATGTAGACTAACAATCTGAGCATGGGTAAACAGAATTGGCCCTGGTCAGTATTTGGATGGGAGACCACTGAGGAATACCAAAATTGCTACACAGAGGCAGGCAATGGCAAACCACCTCTGAACATCTCTTGCCTTGAAAACACTTTCGTTTGCTGTAAGTGGGCTGTGACTTGATAGGGGGGGAAAGTTAACAACGAGAGCTGATAATCTTGTTTTCCCCCCTCTCATTTAATACTTTGGAGAACCTTAATTTGATGGAATTTTATGCTGGGGGTGCTTTTGTTACCAGCCTTTAGCCTTTGAAGTTTGGATGCACTCTAGCCGATAGTGACAGGGTGCTGCAATAAGATAAACCTGATTCAAGAATATATCCACTCAGTATATCAAAACAGAAGAATTAGAAATGCATATTTGGCTAGTTTGGGGTTTTTTAAAAAATTGTGCCACTGCCAAAAGTTTTACACTGTATTAATGCTAAACTTCTTAAAATTCAAAAATGCAGTAGACTAATTTCTGAGGAGCTCCCAGAAGGCTCCAAACCCTGGAGGTTTTTTAGCAAGGGAGAATCAAGAAATTAAAACACGGCTAATGATAATGTCTGCTGTGTGCGTTCCTAAACAAGACTTATACCCTTTCTCAATCCACGGTGAAATCAGTGGGCTGAGAAGGATGTCACTTTTCTTAGGAGTACATTGTTAGCTTCCCTGTCCTTAACAAATGGAATGCAGTGGCCACAGAAAAGGCACTTTGGATGTCCTTGGATGGAAAGCTTTTCCAAGGCAGAAACTAGCACTGAATTTTGATTGCTTTTTAACTAAAACTGGCAATGATTGACTTGTGAGATGGAGAAGGAGAGGTAGGCAACCTTCATTTGTACTTAAGATGGTAACACTAAACTGGAAAACAGGAATGCTGCAATTTGGCAGTGTGCCACTTCCCTCCCACACTGTTCAACAAGCTGTTAGAGAGAGGTATGGGTTTGGACAGTCCTACGATTATTTTAGGGTTCAGAGTTTTTCTAATTCCAGCTCCTGGTGTTTCCACCAATGGCCTGCCTCATTGTTTGGGGAAATTAGCTATGCGGCAGGAAAGACCAGAGGGGTACAGGGACTGCACACCAATTGTATGCCAAGGTCCGGTACAATAGGAAGACTCCAGATTTGATGAGTAAATTAAATAGTTTTTATTAAAGGATTTCCCTAATTACAAGCAGACTAAGCATTCAAAAACAGCAAGCAATACAGAACTAAGAAAGCAGAGGTAACTGATAGCAAACAGAGGGGTCAGTTACAAGGTAATACAAGCTGTCCAGATGTGCAGGGGTCCGTGGAGATGAGATTATGGCCCAAACCAAAGTTTGGGGACGAACTGCCAGTTGGCATCAGCGGCAAACACACAAAATCTGAGGCTATGTGCTCTGATGGATATAGACATTGGAAAACAGTGCTGACCAATGGGAGGTCTTGAGGGGCTTACCCCAGGTGAAGACAAAAGATTACCTGGGCCAATCATGGGTCCCAGGAGGTCCGGCATCAGAAAGAGCCAGACCTAGGTGTGACTAATGAGGTTCTAGAAGGGCAGAGCCTGGATTAACAATAGCATTGATGGGTTTAACCAGGTGCTGGGTGGCTAGTTGAATGGGTTTTCTGAACACTAATGGTTCAGTCAAGGCAGGTTGAAAAGGTTCCCAGGGTTATACAAAAGGTGGGAGATGAGTCTCTGATTAGCGTCAGGAAGGATCACTAAACATTTGAATGTATGATTGGTTTATCTCAGTACCTTGAGGGAAGGAGCAGGAAAGATAATTGTGAAGACAAAGGATTCTCATGTAGACATAGGTGCATAAAAAAGGGCTGGGTGAAGTTCTGGAGACGAAGGGCCATTTGCCAGGTGGCCTTTGAATAGCCTTTAGAAATGTAGATACTTTACCTGGTGGAACTGCCATTGTTTCATAGGCATACCTTTCTGGGTGGTGGTGGGGGGAAGACTGGAGTTTTGCTCTGAGGGATGCCTTTATGCCACCTGAAAATGGAGAGCCTTTTCCAGAGCTATGGCTTGCTCCATGTTTCAGAAGCAGGAGTGCCTTCCTTGGCCTGAGCTTGTGGGTCTCTACTTCAGGTTAGAATGTGGGCTGCCCATGCTGTTGGGGCTACCCTAGAGTAAGGCAGCACCTCTGGGCTACACTGGTTGGTCTATAATTCCTGGGGAGCACTGTTTTGATGGCACTCTGGCCTGGTTCCTATTATTGGGCTCCTAAACATGGTTAAGAGATGAGGAGTATGCTCTGGGCTTTGTCCACAGTGTAGCATCTTATCTTCAATGCCACTAAAACTAACCTAAAGCACTAGGCACTAAAACACAAGAGAACCAGACTCCCTTGTGACCAGGTCTGTATACTTTAGATGCAAACCATAGTTGCAAGGGTAATCTGGGTAACACAGAAATTGTGCCCTAATGCAGATGTAGTGCTACAGTGTGGTTAAAGTAAAAATATACAGAACGTTACTGGGGAGGCCCCAAGTTTGGCTTGAAAGCCTCCATATCCAGAGGCAGCAGTAGGAGAGGGCCTCAGCCTCTGTGCCTTGCTTCTAAGGCCACTGTTTGGCTACTGTATGAAACAGTATGCTAGACTAGACAGACCACTGGTCTAGTCCGGCAGACTTTAATGTTCTTCTGGAACATCTGTGGCTAAATTCAAGTTATTTGGACTACTTGTAATTTGTGTGGTTTTATATTTATTAAATGTAAATTGAATATTATCAGTGAATATAAACTTTCAGATGAAGATGCAAGTTACTAGGAAGAAGGAATCCATTTCAGTCTTGTGCTGTCTGTTCTTGTTAATACAGCTAGGCCAAGAAGGAGTGGGTGGGACAGGAGAGATGTTCCCCTGATTATTTATGGCCCCTCTTCCAGTGCCTGCTGTCGGATAATATTATTGGGCACTGGAGCACCTATATTCACCTGAGATGAGGGGCATGGGGTCTGATGATATTGTCTATTGTGCCATCGACTGTTTTATTGCTTTTATTGTTTTATGGACTGCATGTTGTAAGCTGCCCTGAGCCCACTTGTGGGATAGGGTGGGGTATAAATTGAATAGATAGATATAGATATACATACATACATACTCACAGGGCTTAAAGCTTCTTCTTTTTTCAAAGACAATTTATTAGGATATAGTAAAAAAAGTTCAAACATACTTCAAAACTTATACAGTTATATATCCATCCCTCCTCCCTTTCCCCCCCCTTCTCGGCTTCCCACAGTGCTCCAACCTCCAGCCCAATTCTTAAATTTTCTCCATACCTCCTTTTCCCCTTATTCATATCCACAGGTAACTTATCCTTCAAGTGTTATTCTTATACATTTATCTATTTTCTACTATCATTTAATCATCAATAGGGCTTAAAGCTTCTTGCCCCTCAAAGGCAGCATGTTTTAAACTACCTTTCACTCCATGCCTCATATGATAGTTGTATGAGTGGCAAAAAGCAGTGCAGGAGGGAAGAGAAAAAAGATACAGAGCAAGACTGAGCCAACGGGTGGGGAGGGCTCCTCACTGCGTTGCTTTAAGCCCCAAGTGAGAGAGAAAGGACACAGGCATATCAGTATTTTTTTTTGTCTTCTGGGGCTTAAAGTGGCTGGGAGGAGCATATTTCACACCAGGGAGACAGTGCTGAAAGGAAGAACGGAGCTAACCCTAACCCACACACAGCACCACTGTCCCAGTCCTTCTGCTGCTTTATCAGCTGCATCTCTAGGGTGTTTTCCAGACAGGGACAGGCTTGTGTAGGTTAACCCCATTGCAGCTGGAGCTGCCAATACGGCACAGTAGCAGCAGGGCTGCCACATGGCAGGTTTCCCCATAGTTTCCCTTTCCCAGGCCCCCAGCAGTGGCCACCCCCCTGGGGCTACCACCAGGCCTTTCCCCATTTCCCCATAACAATAATGTATCCAGTACTCCCTCTAAGCTGTGGAGTTTTGTGAGCAAAAGTTCTACTTTGTGAGCTACTGGCATTAAAGTTGTGAGCGAGCAATTTGGCTACTGCATAAATTAGTTTGCTCTCGAGCCTTCCTTCCTGAGCTAAGACAAAAATGTGCGAGCCGGAGGCTAAAGAACTGTGAGCTACCTCACACTAACTCAGCCTAGAGGGAATACTGTCTGTATCATGTCTGAATTCCCAGCTTTTGTTTTTAAAAAAGGTCTCTAGCCCAGGGCACACTGGCACCGGCCAGCACCCACTGAACTTTTCAGAAGGTGGGCAGGGCTTGTTATCAGAAGGACTGGTAAGCACCTGTGCTTTCCTTAGTCACTGTATGGTTCCATTTTCCTCTTGAGGTGTTCCTTCTTCACAGGAGGTGTGACGGGGGTATTCCATTTACCTCTGCCTCCTGTGGCAGCCATTTTGGGGTGGTGCTCTCTACCCCTCAAAATTCCAAAGGTACCTGCAGGTTCAAAAACGGGTTGGGACCCCTGCCTTTCCCCTTATATCTCTGTAATGACAGGATCTAGGGCAGTGGTACTCACTCGGCAGCTGAAGAGCCACATTCGCAATTACCATTGACCAATAAAGCCACGTTTACCTCCATCCAGTGTCCCCTCTAAGCTGAGTTAGTGTGAGCTAGCTCACAGTTTTTTAGCCTCCGGCTCACACATTTTCGTCTTCGCTCAGGAAGGAGGGCTCCAGAGCAAACTAATTTATGCAGTAGCACAACCCTCAGCTCACGAACCGTGAACTGGGTGAGGCTCGTCATGAGATTAGGTTCATGACGAGGTTCGTGCCCATCCCTAGTATAGACCCACAGTCCCTAATCATTTATCCAAGCAAGTTTGTAAAAACCATTTTGTGCAGTGTGCAGAAAAGCCCTCTTGAATAGTTCAGTTTTGCATAGTTTGCACAAAGCCAGGAGAGTGGGAACTTTCCTGACCTCCTTGGACAAAGTGTTCCACAAGGCCCCAAACTCCATCTCTCTCTCTCTGGGTCTAACCTGAGGAACACAGCACTTAGGAGTGCCTGTAAGTGCACATGAGGGGAAGTTGAGGGGAAAGTTATGTCTCGTTAAGACTTTAGACATCATCCATTCTGATCTCATAAATTTGTATATGAAGTAAAACTAACACCTGACTAGTGATCAGAAGAAGGAACATAATGGAGGGGAGAGGAATGTATATTTATAGTAGATATATAGGGGGGGTTGTTATTTTTATTTATATCATTAAACGAAAAATATGTTTGTTTTTAAACTATCCCAACGTGCTTCCTTACATTGCACCTCGTTTGTTATTTTGTTGCCCTTTCATCTCTACTCTGTTTTTAAAAAATGACAATTCCATAAGAAGGAAATGTGATAAAAATGAAGGTTTTTTAATAATGGTGAAATAAACTGAAATGCAGCCCAGGTTTTGCATAGGCACAGGCTAAACCTCATCAACTGCTATTCCAGTTTTATGCCATGAGATTTCTTACCATTTGGGTTGTGCATAAGTTGAGAGATTCCATCCACCCAGGCTTCACAGGTTCTCGAAAAGTATTCATATCCATACATTTCTTCCATTGGTTTTCTGGCTTTTTCACTCCATTTGGAAACATCCCGGATAGCTAGAATATTAATAGAATCTGTACATTAATGCCTTCCCCAATGTATTTGTAAAACGCCCATCTGAGCATTGTAATATCATCAAATAAGCGCTCCACGTTTTGTAGGTAAGTTTAAATAATGTAATAAATACCAGTTTGCTTACGCTAGAACATTAGATTGTAAGTACACTGGAGTACTCTTTCCTGCAGTACATTTGCATATGAAGGAACTCAGCTGAGTAAAAGTCAAACCTTTTCCAATGTGTATGAAAAAACAGTGACTTATTCTAGTTCATATTATTTCAATTTCTGAAATGTTTCCGGTTATTCAGAAAAGAAGACTCAAGACTATGCACTGCCTTCATTCTCCCGCTACTTACCGCTGTAAAGTTTCACATCCTCTGCCGTAACACTGGCATTGGCTCCCCAAACCACCATCTTGTGGATAAGATGTGGATACTTTGCTGCAGCGATGAGTGCTGTTATTCCACCATCACTCCATCCTAATAGGGAGAACTTCTGAAACTTCAGTGCCTTGTTTAGTACAGCGAAAAAAGAACGGGGGTGGGGGGTGGGAAATCAGCTAAGTGGAACCACTGAACGGTTTTATCTCAAGGCAGATATTTCTTCAGGAGCAACATCAAATGAAAGGGGTTTAAAAGTGCTTAAGTTGGGCTATGCTCTGCCCACTGAGTTTACCAGGACTGTAGACAAGATCATACTGAGCCTGCTTTGCGGGGAGGGCGGGGTATAAATGAGACAAATAAAAGAAAAAATACTCAATACACAAGATCTATTCCCTTGTGCTGTCACAGTTCTTGTGGTTAATTTTGCTGTGTATTCTACACAAGCAGCCCTGGGGAACAGACAGCCTGCTGAGTGCTTGTGTGGAAGGTACTGAAAGGCCTCCAACCCCAGATAATGGTGATGCACAGTGGTAGGAGACAGGGTGAGAAGGAGGGTACTAGAATGTATTATGGGGATTCCCATATGCATACCTTTGTGCCGGCTCAGAAATATATATGGAGTGGGGAAGAGTTAAATATTTCCCCTTGGGTTTTAAGGCTAAAAATACAAAAGGGTTATTGGCTGGGTTCTTCAGGTCTCAACACAGTAAATTCAAACTGCACATGACCTATAATGGACCTATTCATGTGCAAAGAAAGAGCAGAGGAAACTTAAAAGAGTGAAAACTGCAGGGGTCATTTCCTGCAGGAGCGCACAGGAGCAGAGCTCCAGCAGTAAAGAGCCCAGGGGGCAGGCACATGCAACAAGCCCCACCCCCTGCTCCCAGCAGCCCTCAGTCAGAGCAAGAAGCAGCCAGGTAAGTTGCAGAGCCCCCCCCCCGGCCCACCCGGTCCAAAACAGTCCAGTGGCACCTTTAAGACCAAGTTTTATTCAGGTACAAGCTCTCCCTCCGCTGTGAGGACAGATCTGCACGCCCCCCCCCCTCAATAACTACCAATCCAAAACAGTCCAGTGGAGCCAGAAGGTGGGTGTTGCCTTCTGACACACTTCCAGTGATGTCAGGGGGTGTGGCATATGCAAATAACTTATGCTAATGAGCTCCTGCACCTCTTTTTCTACAAAATGACCCCTGGAAAAGTATTATTGGGGCTTCCTTTCATCACCATTCTTACCATAAAGACAGTTCCAGATGGGTAGCTATGTTAGTCTGTAGTAGCAGATCAAAATTTTATTTCAGTAGCACCTTAAAATCAACAAAATTTTCCAGGATATAAGCTTTCATTAGCCAAAGTTCACTTCATCTTCTGATTTATGAAAGCTTATATCCTGGAAAATTCTTTTGATTTTTAAGGTGTACCTGGTCTCAGATTTTCTTACCCTGTGATCTGTCTCCTCCAAATGCAGGAGGAAGATAGCCAATTTTCAGAAGCCTATTTCAAAAGATCAATTCTTTATCGCAGAAGAAATGTACCTGCATCAAGTCAACAGCATCCTTTGCATCTCTTTCAAAAAAATCAGGAGGAAAATCTCGAACTGGGGGGATAGATTTTCCATATCCCCGAGGGTCCCAGGCTACGACTGTGAAGAGGTGTTTGTTCATAGACTTCAACTGTGGCCCAAAATCAGTCTGGCCACTTCCTGAGAAAGAGAGAGGGATCCTTAAGAGTAAATAGTTATGCTACATACACTTTAAGATTAAAACTCTTACATGTAGTGCCAAATACCCACACTTATGTGTCTTCTCAGCTGAAGGAATTCTGCCTCTGAAACAATACTGTTGAAGACAGAACCATGAAACTTCAGTAACAGAAAATTCATTCATTTGCTGATTTAAGGAGAATTTGAGGATAATTTAGATTGATTTAAACAATATCATTAGTGCTGAACAACGTTTTGGCATCAGATCTGGATATGTAACATTTCTAGAAATTTTGAAACCATGTCAGGGCAACATATTTCCCAAGGGGAAAAAACCTGAAATATGTGCAATACTTCCTTTCTTATCTCCACCCATACATGAAGCTTCTGGCTGGGGGGGGGGAGGTGTAGGCAAATTTTTATCTCTCAACCTACCTCACAGGGACGTTGTGAGGGAAACAAGGATAATTCCCCTTTGTAGCATCCTGAGCTTCTTGGAAGAAGGGGGAATACAAATTAAGGGGGAATACAAAAGTATTAATCCATCAGTGTGAGACACAAATGTAAAAAAGAATCAAAATTCATATTGAGGCACTAGGAATTAACACTACCAAATGCAGGCTACTGCTGATTGATCTTATAAATTCATTTCTGTTCTGTATGCTGGATATGAAGGTAAATCTTCATGTCTTGTACTTTCAATGAGCAAGCATAGGGTGATGTCCTCCTAAAATGTCTTCCCAAGCAGCAAAGTGTTGTCTGTCATATAATCATTCACTGCTTTCACACTGTGTGAAATCAATGTGTGTCTGTAAAATGGGCCATGGAATAAGCAAAACAGTATATATATATTTTTCTTATTAATATTTTATTAAATTTTTCACAAAGTATTATAAACTGCTGGCCATGTGAAAGTAGACAGACAATAGTTTTTCAAGAAGTTGAACACAGTTTGGAAAAGGGATTCCTGCTTATGGTGGTCTCATCATCCCAAATTTTACCTCAGGTGAACATGATTTGTAGGATTTAAAAAAATTGTTTCTAAAACCTGACAACCAAACAGCAGTAGAACAAAGTAAGTGTTTCTGCCCACCCCAAGATGAGAGGCCTCTTTCAACATATTTTCAGTTCTAAAGAAACTACACTTCAAATAATTCAGCAATAAATGTGGAGAATTAAGAACAGAACAGCCCTGCTGAATCAGACCAGTAGTCCATCTAGGCCAGCATCTTGTGTTGCACAGTGGCCAACCAGCTGCCATGGACGGCCAAACAAACAGGGCCCAAAGACCAAGGCCCTTTCCAGATGTTGCTTCCTAGAACTGAATATGGAGGCTCGAGTGATGCTACGTCTCCCCCGTGGCAGATCTCCCACCCCCCACTGGCAGCTCTTGTTGACACTCAGCTGGATGGTGGGAAAAAATGGGGTGGGGACTGCTGGTGCTGTAAGGTTGTCCCAGAAGTGACATCGTTGTGACGTCAACTACGTATGCTTCCAGTGACCCCCTACCACTGAGTATCTCACTGGTTGCCAGCCTCATGCTGGCAACCCCAGGAGTTTCCCTTTACTCATCAGGGCTAGTAGCCATTGATGAACCTACCCAGTCAGTTCCCTACAATATTATTCAAATGTGCAGCCATGCTGTAAGAAACATCTAAGTCTTGTTCTTGTACGCATTCTGGAGGGAGGGAGGGAGGGAGGGAGGGA